GAGGAGGAGCAGGAGGAGGAGCAGGAGGAGGAGCAGGAGGAGGAGGAGGAGCAGGAGGAGGAGCAGGAGGAGCACCACGAGTGTTCCTGATGTCCTCCGTGGAGCTCCTCTGATCAGATGTTCCAGCTGCAGCAGCAGAGACCAGATTCTGGTCTTTGTCCGTCAACAAGTCAGCCGTTATTACGTCATCAGCGCGCGCACAGCTGGGTAATTATTCACCATGGTGACAGCTTATCAGTGCAGCCAGGCGTGACGTCACCGCTCAGGTAACTTTGTCCTCTACAACGACTGGTTCGTTCAGAACATCAGGCTGCTTGTGTCAGGCCGTGAAAGCAGCACGTGTTGTGTTGTGTTGTGTTGGGTTGTGTTGTGTTGTGTTGTGTTGTGTTGTGTTGTGTTGCATCATGCTTGATATTTGGAAAGAACACCGAGACGAGCTTTGTATTTTTACACGTTTTATAAATATAAAACGTGTAAAAATACAAAGCTGTTAAGTATAACCTGCTGTTAATGACAAATGAATTAAAGACACGCCTTCAGTAAAAGTTACTGATTTAAAAACACGCTTAAATATTATAAATTTATTCTTTAAAATGTTCGCATCATGTTTTTCATATAAAATCACAACGTAGAGTTAAAAAAACAACCGAAGCCAAGAAAACGTGACGTGTCTGTGTTTTACGAGGCGTCCCTGAAGGCAGCAGCATAAAACACGGTGTGATGTCAGTGAGAGTGGGCGGTCCCTGAACGCCACACGCGACTCTCGGTGCTCTGTCGGTGACTGAAGGTGAGTGGGTCCGGTTTGGTGCTGATTTCTGCCGGTAACGGAGGGGAACAGCTTTGTTGTGTTGCTCTTGTGGTTCCGAAGGTTGCCGGTGTTGGACCGGCTGGTGCTGACACTGGACGGGCCGTAGTTGTGCTGATTGTGAAACATCGTGTGGTTGATAATTACACTTGTTCAGTCCTGTTTCCTGGCTGCTCTTCTGGTTTTCACCGCTGTGGTGCAGGTGGACAGCGGACAATAAGGTCTACGGAAGCCGGGGTGGACGAACTGACGGCGCGGGCACTAATTAAAGCCTGTCGGTACCGGATCGAACAGCAGCATTAAAACATAAAGTTGGTCTTTTTGTAATATAACATTTTAGACATTTTGTAGGAACTCAGCCTTTAGTCAACATTATATTTTGTATATTTTGTAATTTTTATATATTTTGTACCTTGAACTTGTCAGGAGACAGAAAGTCAGATTATCCAGAGGCGGAGTTACTGTTTTTAGGGTCCATGATGAAGCAGGGTTCAGGGCCCCCTCATTTGTTTTCTACATTTTTCATCACGTCACTCATTCTGCCTTTTTTGCTACGTTAATTTAAAAAGTTTGTTTGTGACATTCCTGGTATGACTCTCGGTACTTAAACACTTTATACTTTTTGAGAAAAAGAGCTTTTTGGACATATTTCTGTAATTTAAAATGAATTGAGCCGTCTATCATCCTTAAAACTTTTCAAAATGTTTATAAATCTTTCACTTTAAACAGTTGTTGTTCTGTTTTATATAATTTCATAAATTCAGCTCTCTTTGGCC